CGCACTGCATCCTACGTCCTCGAATCCGCGTATGCCGAGTGGCCGGGACTCGGGGTCAGTGGGGGTGTCTGTTCATGATGGTTTGGAGAGCTTCTGACAGCCGAGACACATCTTTGACTTCCATTTGAGCCACACTGTAAGATAACAGAGTTGACAGGCGTGACTAGAGTAGAGCAGGGCGATATGGCCAAAAATATTTATCACGATATATATTTGAAAATTTGCGATAACGATATAACTGACGATATAATTGATGCGAGACAAAATACAACTCCACAACATTACTAGCGCAAAAAGACAACCTATCATTTATTTTCACTTAAACAAGAAGCTGGTTTTTATGTACATTAAAGCTTTATAAAAATGTAACAGTGCAAATGCAAATTCCTTGCTGAAAGTTTAACCAAAAGGCATTTCCAGTAGAAATGGGCTGACATATCCTGAGCATAACCATGTATAATATCCACTGAAGTTAAAAAGAGGTGCTTTGCAACATTAAACTGCAGTGTGCAGTACGTATTTTTCGGACCATAAGGTGCACGGGATTATAAGGCACATTAAGCGAAACAAAGCAGTCAGATAAATCAAACTTTATTAAACTCATTCTTCTTGCTTCCTCCACTTCTGTACCGCTTGATTTTTCCATCCATCCATTCGCGTCCGTACTCCACAAGTATATATACATCTGTGAATTCTCTGGGCAAGCTGCTCTATTTATCCTGGATATATGTTGTATGTTGGTGCTGTATGACACGGTAAACTATTAAAATGCTTAATTTGAATCAACTTATTAACATGACCGGTCTTTCGTGCGATGTGATTTATCTCAGTTTTTCTCCTGACTGAAGTTGGTCGGTTTACTCAGCCATCTGCATGGCGATTGCCATCATCACAGTTGCTCTCTAACACTTTATCGGAACCTTCCACTGTGACACTTTTTATAGTCGGAGTGATATCAGTGTGTCTCATGTGTTCTGTCCCATCCGGCTTCATACTGGTGGTATTAGTGTATCGCCACTAACCATAGCTACGTGTCGCTAGCGCATTCTGTGCACATCCAATTAATTAGCAGCTATGGTCAGGCTATATCAAACAACACTGAATGCTGTTGTGTTGGCAGCTGGCCATCAGCTACCAGACACACCTCTATGTTGTGCTAATCTGGTGTTTCTTCCACCACTGCGGGTGTCTGGGTTTTCATAAGATAGTGTTCCTGTCTTTTCAATTGATGACTAGGCTGTCCTTGGGAGCTCTAGGTGATAGCGGTGTAGTTTGAATTTTATGCTGTCCTGTCATCAGAACATAATAATCGTACTGTCAGCGTGGGAAATGTGGAGGGGTCCTTCATCTCACATATTGTGCCTTTGATGGAGCCAGGTTACCGTGAGCGAATGGTGGCACGAGTGAGCAGACTAATCCAGCATGAGGTGTCTTTTCTTCTGCTGCAGACTAACGTCGTGCTAGACTACGTTGATGTAATGTAATCAAAATTTTGTGTGCTCATCTTACTCAGATGGGAATGGCCTAACGAAAGTTCAACTTCCAGGATATAACAAGCCAGCCACACGCTCATGGTAAGGCAGCAATTGCTGACGTTTTAATTAAAGATGACGACTTAGACATAGTTGTTTTTCCATACGCGTCGTCCAGAGGATGGGCGAGTGGGTTCGTTTGATCGCGAATTAACGGTGCAAGTGGAGTTGAGGGGACGTCAGAAAGGTTACTAACGCCGATTGGATTAAAGGGATGGCGGGGTTTTCATTTCGGGTAAGATTCCGTGGCAACAAAATACCGCACTGACATAATCACACGAGAAATCACAGGAGAACAATCTGTGCAATGGGGGTTCTGAAGAAAATGTGCTTTGTAGGTGTATCATGAGGGACAAACACCAGAACCAGTTCCACCATCACTGGAAGTTGGACCATCTTTGTACACAACCTAATGTCTGGTTCCATCTGTTAATCACTCCATTCGGTCTTTATCACAACCAGTTCCACATCACTGAAGTTGCACCATTTTTAACAAACCAATTCTGGTTCATCTGTTTCACTCAACAATCGGCCATGTGCGTATGAAAACAAAGGCACTGCGCATGCGCGTTTTACTCATATTCTATCACGATATTTCATTTTCCTATCGTTGCCTAACATTATACTGGTATTATCGTGAACGGTATAATATGGCCCAGCCCTAGTCAGGACGCTTCGTGGAGATCCATCAGCACAGCAGAAACACACTCGGGGTCATCATCTTTATAAACTTATTATAAACTCATTATAATGTTAGACAAACAGCTGCAGAACATCTGGCTGAGGTTAGTTAGCTGTTAGCTGTTAGCAGTGGAAGACCAAAGCAAAGCTGCATCTTCATCTTCCTCAGGGCTGAATACACAACAGATACTGTATATACACAGGCTGCTCTTCATCACCAGCTCCTCCTCCTCTGTGACCCATCAAGCTGAATGAACCTCCATCAGATCAAAACAGGCATCATACCCAGCTCCTGCCCTCGTGGACCATCAAGCTGAATGACCTCCAATCAGGGAAAGGTCTTGACATTACATGATTTAAAATAAGGTAAAGCGAGCGTATATTGACATGAGTATTATCTTCCTCTACAGATGAAACAGTCACGAACATATTCCTCCACTCATGGGCTTGCGGCTGGGTTTTTGTTAATTCTTATTTTAATGTGTAGCTAAAGGAAATTGTCGAAAGGTTACTGATCTAGATGTGTATGTCCCTAGCAACAATTTATTAATTCTTCCGCAAACGTTGAGCTATAGTAGTAAGTGTAAAGCATGTGTAAAGCAACAAAATAAACCTCACCCCACACACCAAGCTGATCAACATACAGCTAGAAACACAGAAGGATCGACTGAATCGGGGTTTACTATATTCATAAGGAAGATGTCTGTGATGGTTCTGAAAGTCGTCTTAGGGCGAGCAGTGGGATAAGGAACTATAAAATCTACAAAAACCTAGGATGAAAGGAGGATAAAGATCAGCAGCCCAGCGGATAGAAAACTCAGGTTACCAACCATTAATGTTGTACCTCGTATACCATCGCAACGCAGTCATACTAATTGCTCCGCCTGTAAGCTCTGAGCTCTGTGTTTTCCATTAATTAATCAGTGCATGATAGTACGAGTTAACTAGCCAATTAATCTTTACATCATAAGTCGCACGATGCCGAAGTACATTTTAAATAAATTCATCCAACGTGCATTCATTAGCAGTTTCCAAAACATTACAAGTTCTCTAACAGAATTTGCAACGGGATGCTGGTTTCTTGAGGCAACAGCAATCATAATATAGCAGGGAAATATTCCTCCTCATTATAAGTTCTAGTAGGGCCAGCACTGCCAGCCGAGGTGCAGAGATCTTGTTATAGCGAAACACCATGCTTGAAATCTACTCTTAGACATGGAACACACACAACACTAAATAAGAGTCCTGTCATCTGCGCTCGCATTTGTGCTAATCATGATGAGCGACCTGCAGAGAAGCCAAAACCCAAAGAGGTCTCTCCTCTGCTCGCGCTGCAGCAGTGCTACACTTGTACAGTTAACCTGCCAGCAAAGGTCATTTTAGCCTGTGCACATCACTTTGCCTGAAGGAGGGCAGGGTCCTGATGTGATTGGTCACTGTTGGTGTCAGGACCCTGGCCCTTCAGTGGGTAGGGCAGTTCGATATAAGGCTATATGTCTGATGACGCCTTTTGTTTCATACACGATTGTTTGTTTCATGGTGTCACAATGTGAACTGTTTCCGGTTTGTTTCATGGTTTTGATGTCACTGTAGTGGCTATATCCATTTTTACAGTTCTTTCTTTCTCTTATATTTAATATAACCACAGTGTGGACGGACACGCCACTGTTTTTAGGCGTTGTCGTTAGCAACAACGACGGTAACCACAGCGTGTGGCTCTGCCGTCCGCTTGTTTATTTTCCACATAAACCTTTCACAATAAAGCTGAAGATCCTGTTGAGATTTTGTAAAATAAAGTGAAATGATGACAAACAGAAGGACCAAAACAAATCCAGGACATTATTCCTGAACGAGGGGCTCGCTCTGTAGCAAGAAAGTCTGACACGGGCCAGAAAACTGTACTCTGCAAAACCGGCCCCCACTAAACACGGCAAACCTCTCCTGCCACCTACGCAAGAGTCACATGACAGAGGATGGAGAGAGTTTATGGACGAGAAGCAAAGCTCTACCCACCACATCACCTCTGAAGCAGCTTCACTGGCTCCAGGTCAAATCTCACGTTAATTATACATTTAAAGCTATTCATTGTCTCTCCCCACCATCTCTGGTTCAGATCACCATCCCACTCCAGCGCCCCCGATCATCCTCTTCTTTCTTTTTCCTCTTCCTTCCTCTCGTCTTGTTTCTATGGGGGGCTTTTAGCCGCTCTGCCCCCAACTTTGGAATTCCTGCAGACCTCAGAAAATCACCTCATTCCCTCTTTTTAAGTCCAACCTCAAAACCCACCTGTTTAAAACTGCCTGTTTTATTTGCTGTACAGCGTCCTTGAAAGGTGCTTTTAAATAAGCATCCTGAAAGGTTTATTGTGTTCATCTGTGTTTCCAGTGGGCACCACTGAACTGTTCAGTGCTCCCTCACTGCTGCTGGTTTGGGTCATTATGCAAATGTCCTGTTTATAAGGTTGGAAACCTGCAGTCAGCTGAGACTGAAGGAGTCACCTGATGATGATATTGAAATGTTTCTCCCACTGAAAACGTCCAGATGAACACAATCAAGCTTTGGGTTGATCCGCCTCCACACTGCCAAGTCAGGTAACAGCTGTAGTAATGTGCACCAGCAAAATGTCACCAGCAGATGAACTGCACGTAAAAATGCTGCAGCACGATCACAGGAGAAACACTCGCAGCTTCTTTGTGGGCGTGGCTGCTGAGCTCTGTGCAGGCTGTTGGATTTATGCACGAGGAATTCAACTGTGCTGTGAAATGAAATGATTTGCTCAGATTACATTTTTTCTTTTTCTTCTTATGATATAAAGAAAGTGCAGCTCATTGAAACTGGACCAGCTGCAGTTACCATGGTGACAGGTAAACACACCTCTGTGACCCTGCAAACATACCTCACGTCCTCTTTGACCTCAGGTTTTGGTGCCCTCTTCCTCCTGAGACATGGAAGCATGGCTGCCATGGTTTCCTTTAAGGATGCTGCAGAGGAGAAAACAGGAGTGAGTCTCAGTCTTTCTACATCAGACACAAACCAGGTGATCATGTGACTCTTTCCTCTCAGCTGTGGTTTAGTCTGAGTAGTGGGAACACTGGAACAACCTTTGCTAGTGATGAAAACGACCACATACATGAACGAGTATGACTGAGTGATATTTAAAATGCAAACCAAGCATTCCCTAAATCAGCACCTGGTCACCTATCTGTACAGGCCAATCACAGCTCTCCATGAGCTGCTCAGCTGTGAGTTTAACACTACATTGAAGGACATGTATCCAGTGTTATTTGGATGTACTCTGCACTGACACATTTACAGTTTAGTTATCTTATTGTGCTCAGTGTTATGTAGTCTAAAGGTTTTATTCATATCCATCATGTAGATAAAACTAACACACTTAGCTTCTATATTTGGTTTGTAAAAGATCCTGGTGAGTAAACACCATGCTGTTTAATATCTTTGCAAAATAAAGTACAAACTCTACATCTAATACAGCGGTCTCCTGCCTTTTTTGCGCCACAGACCGGTTTATGCCCGACAATATTTTCATGGACCGGCCTTTAAGGTGTCGGATAAATACAACAAAATAAAACTAGTACCGGTA